GTTACGTAATCCGATGCGATAATCAAATCTAATCCGGACGAATTTCTGCTAAGTTACTACTTACACAATTATGGATGTGATTCCGATTACGTGCTCTGCATATAAATGATTCGATGTTGCAGCGACGCTCATAATAAAGTTGTATTGCCAGCGAAATGTTAAACAATAATTCAATGGTTGAAATGTTTGGTAACTTGCAATTATCGAATGACTCTTTTACATATGATTAAATATCCTAAAGTGAAAGCGGGAAAAATAATTATAATAAACACGATGAGATTACCGTTTCATTCTATGTTTAATTTCATAGCTTTAGACGATTCGATTAAATCTAATTAAATGAAATTTAATTTCCTTTATTTAGAAGATGAGAATAAATTTCCTTTTTCCCTTTGCTATATTTCGTTTTCCACTTTCGTATCATTGGAACATGTAAATAATGAAAGTGTCGTAAATATATATATAACGATTGTTGCAGATTTGAAACGGGAAGCCACAATATGCCACATGTTGAAGCACCCCCATATAGTGGAGTTATTGGAAACATACAGCTCGGAGGGTATGCTCTATATGGTGTTCGAATAGTAAGTACAACCGTGTGTATTTAATTTATTCCATCGTTCGAGGAAACTTCGGTGGAACTTGCACGAAATTCATTCGGTGTATTTTCAAGCGGCGTTTGTTTCGACTTTCGCTCGCTGCGCGTGGTTTTAATAATTCATCGACGAGAACAGTGGTACGATTTGATCTTTAGATTCGGCTGGAATTCCCGTGATTTCATGAAACGTTCGCTTGGAACGTTGTAGTGGCATTTGAAATGCTTTAAACACGGGAAGAATAGTGGAACGGAGTAAGAGCCGAGCGATGTCTTGGTGCCGCATTTACCTGAATTTGTTCATAATTCCTTGAAAGAAGACCTTTTGAATATGCTCGTTGGCAACAACTCTTTTTTTTTTCACGCGCCAACTCTCTTTCAACGTCTCTTCATTTTTCTTTTTCCTTTCTTTTTTTCAACGTTTCGAATTAAACGAATTTTCTAAGTGGAAAATACGTTTCTCCCATGCGGCTGGAAGTGCAATGACCTGAAAAGGTCCTCGTTGAGTCTTAATTATTAGATTTTTTAAACTGATGCTTCTTAAATGCAGAAGAAATTTGAAGGTGGTGGATCTTTATCAAACTTTACTAAATATTACGTAATTTTATGATCATTTTTTTCTGTAAACTCGTCTTTTTTAATTAGTAGTGAATTCTTTGAAGTAGTTTCGTTAGGAGTATTTTTTTTTTTTCGTCGCGAGAAAAATGTTTCGAAAAAATCGAAATAAATGATGAGGAAAATGTTCCGTATTTTTTTGCAAAATTTTTTACCTGTTTCAATTTAAATTAATATTGATCGTTCTTTGTTGAAAGTTTGAAATTGTTTTTGAATAACGTCAGATTGTTAGGATTTTCAGTCACGTGATGTTTAATAACACATGCGTGCGTGAATTTTTAAAGTTATACTTATTTAGTTAGCTAATTCTGATCATACCAATTGTGGTGTAATTATCTAATTAATAACATAATCCCGCAGTTTTTCGATATTTTCAGCTGCAATTGTCGAATATCGATTCGTTTATTAATCGTGTGTTGTGCGCTTCTGGGGTATTTAATACAATTTGAAGCCAACTAATCTTTCGAAATAAATATTAATTATTTGATGTTCGAAGCTCATAGTAACGTTAATTAATGTTTCAGTTTGTAAAAATAGTGAAATTATTCACGTTCGTTGATACTATTTTGAAATAAAAAATAAACGAAACGAGACAGCAATGTTTGGCGATAGTAGCTCTTTACTCAGCTATATATATTTCTAGGTGAAATATTCGACTCTCCAGAGGCTAATTATCTCGAAATATGTGCGCACAGAAAAAAGAAAAAAATACTAATGCCGTTGAAGTATTAAAGGACTGTTTCGAGCATTCGTAGAGTTACGCATCTATTTCTTCAATATTTACATATTTACCAAGTTCTCTAAGTTTTCTCTGAGTTTCTCTCCATTCTTTGATAATCGGAACTACCAAATTTAAAATACAGTAAGTTTAAATTATAAAGTGATCCAGTCGCAAATCGTATTGTCGACTGAAAATCTGCTTTGATAAACTTTTATTAGAGTTTAATTAGTAAGAGAAAAAAAAACCAACAAAAAAGTCTGTGCCTTTTGGATAAAAATTTAATCTTAATTATTTTTTCAAAATATTTGCCAACAGATTCAATCCGAGTTTTATGTATCTCGTAAATCTGTATGATAATTTATGATCCAGTTTATTTGTGATTCGTTCAATTTATGATTCGTGCTAATTCAATGTTGATCCCCGCGAGATAGAAAATATTCGAAAGTAAAATAAATTTATTTTACTTAGATCACGTTGCAAAACGAAGAACAATATTTCATGACACCTCAATGCCTTGTCAAAGAAACGACCAAACAAAAAAGTCTGTTTTGTGAAAAAGATTTTGGGATGACAAATGGATCTGTTGCAATAATCCTCGGCACAAAAAAAAGAAAAAAAAGGAACAAAAAAAAGTCGAGAGTACGTAGATTCCAAAAAGCTAACCATGCCGACGTCGAAATGAAACATGCACGCGTACGGGGAAACAAGATTCTAAAGCCGTGAATTGGAGCTGTTGCTATGGAATGTTATAGCAACGAATTGAATCGTTTGCAGTTAGTTTTAGGCGGGGAAAAAAAAAAAAAAAACTGTTTAATAGCCAAGCGCCACCATTGCATAGCAATGCTCCGTTCTACCACGTTCCTTCACCAAGGTAAACGAGATAATAGAACTGAAGATAAAAAGTTTTAATGTATTCAGTCTATTTTGCACTCCATCTAATTACGCTATATTTAGATTCATGAAGTGGAATGCTATTACTGTCGAACGCAGTTATGAAGTATCGTACGGTAGTAAAAAAATGAACAGTTCAATTAATTGGAAGCCTGACAGCTTTTACGGGCAGAGCGGAAGAAAATATTTCTGTGAAAAAAAGAAAAATATGATGATTGAGTATTGTTTAGTTAAAATAAATCGAGGCAAAAGTCCCGACGATAAGGAATCCGTGTAACGGTTGTTTGACTAATCTCTGAACTCAAACACGAAACGTTTATAAACGTGACGACTAGATACACTCGGAGTTATTGCTGCGCAAACTAAAATCCGTAGAAGATATTTACATAGGTTTGCATGATTGCAATCACCAGTGATCGTGACAAGGAGAACCGTACCGATGAAATTTTGTAATTTCTGAAAGCGAGATACGATCCTCGTTCATAATCCATACAAGAGGAAATTCTAACTAGACTAAAAAGAAAATTTTACTGCGAACAATTGCACTTGCAGCTTATATATTAATAAATGATAATTAATTGTTTAACGTACGATGGTTCCTTGGGATCAAAACAAAAGCAATTTAAAAAGTCCAATGAAATTCATACTTTGAGTTATAACGAAGAGTTTACCAAGTAATGCAAAGTAATCTTCTCACAGAGATTGAAATTACTTCGATGAGAAAAAGAAGGGAAAGGAAAAAAAGAAAGGAGATGACAGAGTTGTCAGTGTGGAAAGAAATAAGCTTCTATGTCAGCTTCTGTATTCTAATTGGATGTCTAGTATTTATGAAGCAGCGTGCGACATCGCATGAGTTAGCCACGCGTGTTAATAGACATGTATGAAGAAGCAGGCAAAGTTCTTGAGTGACAGAGATTCACGCGATACGCGTATTGTATTCTGTTCTATTTTGTCAAAGCTTGACAAATTCTCTACGAAATGTTACGTCGCTTGTTGAAATTAGCGTCAAACAAATTTCGTGGGACTTTTCCCAGATGAAAATATTTCTTCAATCGCAATTGGACGCATTTCATCCGTCACACAGCAACCAGCCTCTTCTTAAGAATTTTACGTTGTTACGAATCGACCTAATTAGCATCGAATGAATCAACAATAATTGGGACACGCAGTGTTGTAGCAAGGAACCTTGTTACGATTGTTAACATAATTAAGTCAGACAACATTGCCGATTATTGATCATCAATGTGGTTCGTTAATTTCGCTTGCGTTTATTTCTTGCGTAATCAACGCGCAGGGCATTCTGTCGCCAGTTTAAAACGTAAATTCAATAGGAGAAGTTATCATTTTGTATGCGTATCCCTCTCGTAAATATCACGATTTGAACAGAACATTTGTATAACTTTTTGCAAAGAGCGCACGTTGAAGCGACAGAATTTTCACGATTGTTTATTTTGTGTTTCCAGTTGTGCGATAAAAAAAAATCGCTGAATTGTATTTTCGTATTTAAAAAAAAAAAAAAAAAGAAGTGTCATACATCGTCCTTATCCTGAACAAATGAACGAGATAAAAAAAAAATTGATCGATGTGTTATGTGATGTATCCATCGTGGCTCACGAGAGTAATGGCGTACTCGTATCATACTCGTATGAATAAAATTTTGAAAATGTGTACCGAAGTTTCGCGATATGTTCTGAGATAATTTATCTACTAAAAAATTAGTATATAGCGTGAATAGTTGTCCTAAACACATAACAAAAGCATCGAAGATACCTGTCATCTCTCTGTAAAAATATATACTTGTACTAAATATCTTGTAATTGTTATGCACGTCTTCAGATTCGATAATCGATAATACTCGCAACGGTATTAATTAAAATATTTCGTGACAACGCGTGAAATATTCATACGCTGTGATATATTTTTGTGAGCAGTATATATCTATTTCGTTGGAAATCGCTGTGTTATGCAGTCCTTCGAAGTACCGTGTACACATCGAAGGTGCAAGAAAATACAACTCCTTTTTCCCAACGCGCCATAAATTGCACACCTCGTAAATTATGCATTAATGTCGCGTCTCTGTTTCAGTATGGATGGCTCTGATTTATGCTTCGAGGTCGTTCGAAGAGCGACTGCTGGATTCGTGTACAGCGAAGCAGTGGCCAGGTAAGAAGATCTTTCGCATTGTGCGCGCAAAAGTATTTCAGCCATTAAAGATGTCTCTTTTGTTTCGAATGTACTCTTTGAGCTCAGCGCTACCATTTACGTTTTTTCTTTTTTTCTTTTTTTTTTTTTTTTTTTTTTTTTTTAACGAAAGGAAGAAAGAAGGGGAAAAAACATTTATCCTGGACTTCACCTGAATCGCAGCAGCTTTCCATTATGCGTATCAATGATGTATGTGTACAATGATGCATCGAGTTTGTGACACAATTTGCGCGAGTATATTTAATATCGTTAAGGGAACAATTCCATTTGTCCTCGAACGTACTATTTACATCGAAACAATTCCTCGGCTATTAATCTTACTATGGTCCTTACGCCCCATTTTTTGTCCAGCCGTCAGTGTTCTCATTTGTGTAAAATCTTTTCTTGGCTCCGAGAGCGGATGTCTGTTTTTTGATAATAACGTTCTTACAGTCGTTGGTTCTTCTAGGTAATAAATAATTTTGTAGCGAAATAACAGCGCAGTTTTATCGGCAAAGGTATCATTCAAGGACTGCAACAAGATTAATCCTTCAGTGTCGTTAGCTTTCAGAAAGATTTTGGAAGATTAAAACTTGAGTCTCTCTGAGAGAATGAGATATCAAATTGTTGAACGACTGTGAAAGACTATGTGATAAAAGTTTTCGTTTTAATCGCGCATTGTTGACCATATTTAGAAGATTGAACTATATGAACGTACATCGTAACTGTCTGGTATGGTTATTAATATTTAGCTTTCGTAAGCAGATGATGTTTACTTATGAAAGTTTTGGCCGTCTGTTTGCTGAATTTACTTTGGTTGAGTAGCGGTAGATTAACCAGGGGGATGATGGACAGTGTAGGCACATGTCAGGTCCAAAATTGTCTCTGAAATGCGTTTGCTCTCTTCATGGTCGTTTGCAAACCCACGTCGCGTCGTACCTAGCTTTATAACGAATAGCGTTACGAGCTAACGTTTCATAACAAATCAATTTGCTCTTGCTATTTGAAATCAGCGTATTTTTCCGTGTATTTTGACTACGACAGACATCTAAAGTTTGACTGAGTTTAATTAATCAATATTCCACATATTGGTCACTGCCATTGGTATTGCCAAATATTTGGATCGACAAGATAGTTAGCTGTTAACACTATACATGCGTGAAGTTTTCTTTTGCAGAAATAAATTACGAGCTCAATATTTTTTTCTTTTTTGTGCATTTCAGAAATAAAACCAAATTCAACTTGCAAGTCCAGTATACAATTCGTAGGAAATTGCGTAGGAAGTTAAGAACGTTAACGCAATACCTTTGCGTTTCTTTTTCAAATATATGCACGTACTCCCCTTTTCCGACCTCGACCAAACTAAAATATTCTCTTGAAATGCCGTGCCATTCGTATGCCAGCAACATTTGATATTTCACGTTGAAAGAAAGAATTTCAATAGCGCACTAAACACGAACCTCTGGGGACATGACTTACCTACATAAGTTATGGGTGCAACCTTCCCGGCGCACAAGTTCGGAGTTGTAGATACATTAGACACACGAGATGCATTAAACTCAGTTACAAAGTTATTATTCGACACCGCCGATAATTCACTTCATTCCGGGAGCACAATGGTAAAAGTCAATCTTCAGTTCGGTATTAATAAATTATTTGCTACGTGTACGCGCAGCATCCTCGAAATAAATGCAAAAATTTCAGTCCACTGGTCAAAGACAGGTTAACAAACATTCACTATTTTTACATCGGTCCAGCAATTTGATATTTTACAATTTTAGACTACGACGAACAAAGGAGTATTTTTTGAACAAAGTTCCTCTGTGCCGAAGTTTAAATTTATATCATCGGGAATTATTTTTAACTGCGCGCGGGAGATTCAAATAAATTATATCTGAAACATCAGACGATTCACGACGTTCGTCATCGATGTCTAAAAATATTCGGTGAATATCGTGAAAATTGCAGTTATTAAACGATTACCTTTTTTTGTTTCTTTTCGGTGTACGTATGATATTTTTGAGGATTTGATTGTTTATATCGTATATATCGAGCACCCGATAGTCGATAGCTCGATTGAAACGTTTACCTGTTTAATCAGCCTGGCAATAATCTTACGAGTACGTGGAAGAGGATAAAACGGTTGTATTAACGAATTGTATCCGGCTGCTGTTTCGCTCTTAACAGAAAGTCGATTGAACCGACGTTATCTAGACAGTTTAACGAATATGCAATAAATACACCGGCAGCCCGAGCGCTTTGACCATCGTTTTTTATATCTCGGTCAACCTTCAATAATCCCTGTGTCTCATTCCTTTAACATTTTCCTTAATCGCCTGACCTATACGGTTAAGAAGCATAGACATTTTTACGCTATTTAACCCCGAGTTAATTTTACTTTCACCGCTTTGATCCGCGATCGTTTTGTTTCCCAGAATTGACGTTTATCATTTGAATTTTATGGCTAAAGCATCGATCATTTGCCCCGTTTATTGAAACGGCAACGAGAAGTTCGAGAGCCGTGACAGGTATGAAAAACAAACAGTTCGGGAAAACATAGGAGAAAGAATGGTGAAAATTTTTTATCTTCTGTTTCTTTTTTTTACACGTCTGTCACACACGGAGAGAAATTTTAGAGGCGTAATCTTTTTACACGATACTGTGAGAATTAACGAAACTTATTCGTATCTTTATCACAAGTGACAGATTTGTATTATTTTCAACACTGTTTTAAATTACGTTTCTATTAATAATTCCAAGCATAATAAGCGATATTAAAAACTTAACACAAGTCAAGTAACATGGCAGATTTAGAAGCATCCATGAATTTGTTCTCACTTTTTAATTGATGTTGCATTTTTCTTTTTTTTTTTTTTTGGCTCGGCATACAAGCATATATGCAACTCTCTATGTTAATATAGAACCAGTCCTCTTGTTCACAATTATCCACGGAAATTGAACTATGCCTCGAACACTGCTGAACGAATGTCGTAATATAGATATTCTAAATAACATTGTGCAGGATATTCCATGAAATATGAAGTTTGGGCGTGCGTATCAACGTATAATAGTATCTGACCCGGTTTCAAAGTTACGCCGTTTTTCGTTTTCATCATTTGTTCACCTGTCTTGACGCGGAATGCTACTAGAAACTTTCGACATGCTTTTATCCAGCGATAGGACAGAACGTGTTCCTAAGTAGTGTTCAGGAAACGTATTGTAGCAATTAGCGAGGGAATACAGGAAACGTTACAGGGCAGCGGTTGTATAAATCTGAATTGGGATTAATTGAAACGAATTTCTCTGAAATTAATTGTGTTGATTGAAATTTCAGCAGGCATTAAAATGTGAAAATCTGAATGGAATTAATTGAAGCGAATTTCTTTGGAGCTGATCGATTCGAATTTAATAGACATTAAACATGGCGATAAATATATTGGAAACATTATGTGATACTGTTATAAAATTGACCTCAGATTATTACTTATAGCATCAATTTGCATGAAAGAGTACAAGTCACTTGTTTTATGATTTTATACTTGGAAGTAAATTACATGTTTCTACGGCGCTATCCTGAAACGAATCGTTCAATTTTCGTTTAAAATCGGAGCTGTAAAATTTCGAAAAAAGAAAAAATGGCGCATTGATCTCTGATCATTTTTTTTTTGCTGCACGAGATCATCGCGATAGTGTCGCGCATATCGTCGGCCGCGATAAGGCCGAAGATTTTCATCCGTCCCGGGGTGAATAGATAACACGTGCATATATATATACGTATATTTTTCAACGGCCTCATCTCCCGCAGGATAGCGGTATAACAGCAGCTTTCGTTTTCCAGCCATTACATGCGACAGATCCTGGAGGCGTTGCGCTACTGCCACGAGAACGACATAATTCATCGTGATCTAAAGCCGCAGTGCGCCCTCCTGGCGGGCAAGGAAAATTCCGCACCGGTGAAACTACGCGGCTTCAGCGTCGCCGTGCAGCTTCAGTCGTCCCAGGCAAACGGCGTCGGTATGTTTTCACACTTTTTCTCCACTCTTCGTTCACTCCAACTTCGTTCTATATTATCTCTGCGTGCATAGATAGCCGGGGTTCCTTCCACGGAACTTCTGACTCTTTCCTGCGCATTCTCCAGGGAAAAACACCCGCTACGGCGTTAGCTCTCTTCGCAGAACACACTTTTCCGCGTGTTTTCGTTTTCACTCGTGCTTCCCCCGTGTTTCCCGAAACACGTGCGCGCACCATTGCCGTGCGCCACCGTAACAGTACAATCAGATCACTATCACCGAACCGGTCGCTTCCCCTCCCCCCCCTTTCGTCCCCCACATCTGACAGAAAGTCGTGATTTATGATTTGTACGTAGCCGCGCCGGACCAAATTAGGGAATTAACGGCGCTGTGTCCTGTTGTTGCTACTGATACGGTGTGCCGTTTATGCTGCATGATTTTGATGCAACGTTTTGAGCAACGTCTTTGAATGTTAGGAGTTCTCGTAGAGAGGAGGATGTGTATCGTTGGATGTTAGGAGATTTGCTAGAGGCAAGATTTGTTACAATAATGTCTTTCAGTAACGTTTCAGAGATATATTACAGGCTAGACGGGTCAGAAATTGGAGGAAAATCTTTCCTTAGATATATTTTTGCTTTCCTATATTTTTGATTCGCGTAAAGTATTAATATAAATCACGTGGGAGACGTGTCGTCACGTTCATTAAATATTATACGAACAAGGAAATAATAAATTTACGTTCTTTTTTTATCTTCGTATATTTTTTTAATGGACATTGACGTTTCGTTTTTGACCTGTTGACAGATTGCAAGAAACAAGGAAACAACGAAATGAAACAACGCCTGTTAAAAATCAGATAATACTCGAAGTAATACGTAGAGATGAAAATCATGTGTCTTCCGTAACTTTAATTGTCTTTTCACAAATTAAGACGTACGATCTTGTCGCGTGGAGCAGTTAGTACGATGAAAATTTCACGCGTGTCAGTTCGATCGAACTGTTTCGAAATCTAGAATGCTCGACGAGCAACGATTAATTCTAGAGACAAATGGCGCGATTTCCTTTACCGCGGATCAACCGCAAAGGATCCAGTTATTCAATCAGTCGCGTCATGTAAATAATATGCCACGATATTATGGACGTGTCGCGATCTGTGAATGACAATAAATTAGTCCTCTGTGCACAAAGCGAGCGGACTCGCTTATCTGGGGAAGCGTAGCAAAGGTGAAAGGGCGCTCTGACGCGTTTCTTACGTTTCCTGTTCGTTTCAGAAGAGAGTTAACATCGTTCGGACGTGACGAACGCGCGGCGACCGAAAGTCGCTCCTTAAATTAAAAATACTATTAATTTTTACATACAGAATGTCGTTTCAATCTTGAGATACACATATGTACGTACGTATGTACAATACGCTTCTGATATTTTTTTTTTTTTTTT